GTCTTGGAGTGAAAATTGTTTTCATAGCTTGATTTTCTTTTGAAAGTTCGTCGTTTAGTTTTTTAAGATAAGCAATTTTTGCTTCTAGATCTTCTGTCTGTATATCTTGATCTGTATTTGTATGTACTACGTAAAAAACATAATTAAATATACAAATAATCGTTTCCCTTGAGAAAGAAATATACATCATGCAAAAAAAACCGTGCAAACATAAAAGTAATTGTGCAAAAAAAAAGAATCCTTGAGTAAATACAATAAATGTTCAATATACCCAACAGATTTACTTGTAGATTCTGTTTTATCATCCGAAATAGCATTTGCGTCATTAGTTTAAGTGCTATAAAATAAATGAAAATATAAAATAATTGCTAAAAAAAGAGTACTACAAGATGTTCTTTGGGAACTTTTTGTTTTAATTGAATTTGTTTGATTTATATCAATATTCAAGTAAAATAACCTACTTAATTTCTGAGATTTCATCCCTAGAACAAATGTCTTTAACTAACTTGGCTGATCTCCAAATTTTAGGTTTTTTTCTTCCTTTTTTAGGAAGATAATTTAGAAGTTCGTGTTGCAAATTTCGCTCGAAATCGTCTTCACTAAAATGCTGTGAACACACTCTTGCATTTTTTACTATAAATGAGTCCGAACGACAAGAAATAACCCATACTTGTCCCTTGGAAACGAATAAAATTGTATGTCTTTTTGAAAATGTCTTGATTGTTTATCGCTATTACACCCAAAAACGCCACAACGCATCGTTGTAACTTTATCAAATTATTAAAACATAACGTGCAGCCACTAAACCTTCTGAAAAATACGTGGAAGACAGAAAAACGTTGCAGAATACGCGCGAAATGCCTGTGTTTACTCACCCAGTGACGTCACTCCCCCACTCCGTACGTGCGCAATATCATACCTAGTATTTATTGTATCATGTACGCCACCTCGGTATGACGCCTATGGACTATGGACCGTCGAGAACTTTGCATTACCGTTATTTGCAATAGATATTCACAAGGTATTCTCATCTTCGTCAACAAATAATATTAATTAATTTAAATAATTTAAATAATTGTACTCCAAATGTTTATACTAAATAAAACGTTTTTCTAAATTATTGTTTAGTTAGAGTGCGTAAAAGTGAGAACTAACATACTTTTATGCACTCGTATGTCACTTTTACGCAGTTGTGTTTAACAACGTGCCATTTCGAAATTAAAATGACAACCAAAATGTAGACTTTATACATATAGCGATTGTAGAAAAACAAGATGGTGGAATTATATACTTCGTCTAAACCAAAAACTTGCGGTGTTATTATTTGTGTACAGTATAGCAGTATGAACCGAAAATTAATAAACAGTTAATACTTCAGCACAGTCTCCCGTTTTCCCCTCGACCACTACATCACTGTTTCGCTAAAAATTATTATCAACGATAATCACATTTTCATTATTTATTGTAATTACGATATATTTCAGCAACCGTTCAACTGTTGAAATACTCAACAATTCAGCGCCATTGCTTAGTGTTCAGGTATATCACACCATTTTGATCTATCTTGTTTACGTTGCAAATATTTGAAAATCAGTAACTTGCTGTCAAATGTTGCTAACAAATTTATTACGAATACTTATTAACTGCAAAGATACATAAAAGGTTAAAGTTATGACAACAGTACAGAGCTAAAGTCATGTTGTAAACATTTTACAGTGAAATTAGAACATGTTATTTTAACACATAGTTATATGTATTTTAATTTTATTCATTCGTTCTGTTATTCACTCTATCGAAAAATCTCCAAGCAGATAGAAGTAAATTAAATATCTGAAAAAAACATTGTTTTATGTTAACAACATCCTGCGTTTATTTTACTTTCACGACAAAGGTGTATTGAAGGGGTACAATATTTTTACTCCCTATATGTACGGGTGCTTGTAAATTACATAAAAAAATCTGGAAATTTTTTCTGTTACTGTAGTTCCAGCAAGTCCAAGGACATTCGAATGTGGCTTGAAAAACGCACTCAGACTGAAAAATAAAATGTTGAGGTATACAATATTTTTTTATATTTCTTACCGCATTTAGTACTTTCTGACCACCAGAAAAAGCAAGAAAGATATTCAAAGACGCTCCTAAAATTGCTGTGATTATTAATGAATATTCATTTGTGTCATACAATGCCTAAAATATAACAATATAATAGTAAAGGCATCAGTGTTGACAAGTTTTACTATATCTAGGGCGAAGAAGCTAAATATTATTCCGATTAAAAAGAGCATGCCCAAATAAAAAGAAATAATCACTGGAATAAAAATCGTTGAATTGAAGTTTTTGGTACAGCTAGAAAAAAAAGTGAATATGATATCTAAAGACAATTAATTTTACTACGCTTTCACAGAAGAATGACGAATAATAAAACTTCTCAAAATTTTAGACACTTCATCTTGATAATCAGCATTCTCAACCAGAGAATTTTCTTCCAAACCATTAATTTTCGACTTCAACTCTTTTAAATTTGAAGCCAAAACTTTCAAATGAATTTCCTGAAACTTCATCAGATGTGCATAGATTATTACAAGTATTGCTGAACTATATGTAAGAAAACTAATCGTAGATATGTAGAAATTACGTAAAACGAATGAAAGTGTTTTATTCGGGATGGAGAAGGCAAGAAGCGAATATTCGTAGTAGCGTTCAGGAAATTGTAGTACTTTAAATGTGTGACACATTCCGGAAACGAACGCAACTAATAACTGGACTAAATCAGTCCATAGTAGTATTCGCAGTTCGAAGATAAATTCTTCTTTTTTTAAGCATCCGATTTTTTGCAGTTCTTCATAAATCGAGTGAAGCTTTGGGGTTATTACTAATATAATAGCAATTTCTATTACAAGCTGTAAAAGATTGCTTAGTGTTAACGTGCGTCACTGCATTTTGATTTACCTTGTTTACAATGCAAATATTTGAAAAACATCTAACCAATAGCTGGCTGTCAAATGTTGCTAACAAATTTATTACGAATATTAACTGCAAAGTTCCATGAAGGACTAAAATTATGCAGCCAAAGAGCTTATACGCTTTGCTTTTTATTATTGAAAATGTTATCAGATACCATCCTTCAATAGGGTTGTCTAAAATTTATCAAGCTGTTACTATAAAAAGAATAGTGCTTCTCTTACCGAAGAAGATTCTTTTCAAATTCTTCATTCCGCCTGCACAAATAAGATGGAACAACATGTTGGATTTATATATTACGTCTAAACCAAAAAACTGCTGTGTTGTAGTTTTTGTACAGTATAGCAGTTACTGAATACTTGTGGGCACACTAAACGAAAATTAATAAACCTTTAATAATTCAGCATAGTCTTTATTTTCCCCTCCAGGACTAACATCGTTTTATCGTTATAAACTTTTATAGTTAGTGGTGGCTGTTTCATTATTAATTATAATTGTGTCTAGACTGTTGAAACGCTTAGCTAGTTAAAACTTTTGACGGCACCTCAAATAAGTAAATGCTCTCTAAATTGCGCAAAATATTACGAGTCTTATGGGACTTATGGTTTATCAAAGCATTAATACTGTTACGATGAGCGCGCGAATAAAATCGGCGTAGGAAAACTCAACAAATTATTTCTTTCTAACTAGAATTTAGACGAGTAACTGCGATAAAATAATTCCGGCGCAACTTCTCTTCACTGAACTAGCTAAATAATAATCCGTTCCCAAAACCCATACTTGCGCTTCCAGACTTTTCGAACGTCGCCGGGCCGCGTCACCAACGATGCGTCACCCGACATTGCCGTGCGTCCTTGAAAGTTTTCGACGGTCCATAGGCGTTGCACCGGGGTGGCGTATGGGTTTATTTCGTAACAATACTGAAAAATTTACTTTATCGATTAAATCAAGAACTTGCTAACTTTTGAGTTAATTTGGAAAATATTGTTTTTTTTTTCGGAAAATCTGGACGTCTAGCGTACAAAGTCAAGACGGGTTCATAAATCACACCTGTAGGTGTATTTTGAAATATAAATAACATTTACTATGTACCATTTTCGTGCGGATGATTAGACAAACTTTGATGAACATTTAGCTGACGATAAGGAAATAAAAGGGCTTTACAAGTATTTTTGTAAAAAAACTTCTTTTTTTTTGATACTGTATGTTTGTATACGAAATGCATATTGCCAAAAATGCGGCATATGCACGAAAAATAGGTGTAACTTCTTTTTTAACCAATGGGAACACTAACCGATATTTTCAGATTGCACTTTTATTCAGCAAATACCAAGACATTTCGGTAGAAATTTTACCTGAAAAAACCAGCAATAAAGACCTCCTGATCCGAACTGGAGATATTCCATTTACTAGTACTGTTACCAAATAAACCCATACGCCACCCCCGGTACGACGTCTATGGACGGTCGAGAGTTTTCTAGTATGCGCGGCGATGATGGGTGACTCATCATCGGTGACGGCGGCGGGGCGCCGTTCGCATAAAGAGAAGATGCTGTACATGCATACTTTTTTTCCTCGCTTTATCCATGTTACATACTTAGCTCATGGTATAAATAGTGGCTGAGGAAACTATAATACTTTAACTAGGAGGGGAACATGGTTAAGCTCTAAAATAATTTTTGCTAAAACAGAAGTGCCACCTCTTTTGATATTTATTTTAGCTAATTTTTCCATAGTTGCTTATACAATTTTAAAACTTGAATGTAACAATTCAGCACTGGTAGATTCCATTCAGGTGCCAACAAATTGTTTTCAAAAACTATCCAATGATCAAGGCAAAATGGGTGAAAAAGTTTTTCAGACGTTTAGATCTGTTTATTGTAAAAAAAAATCCTTATGAAATGAAACTGTTTTACTGATATAAAAATTTAACCACAGCAAATTTGAGAGTAATAAATTTATTGTCAAGATAATACATACACTGAACTTGTTATTGTGAAAAGAGGATATTTTATTTTTCTATATTTTACTTATTCCTTCTATTATTCACTGTGTCGAAAAATCTCCAAACAGAAAAAAGTAAGTTAAAAATCTGAAAAAAAAATTGTTTTATGTGATCAACAACTCGTATGTAGCATACTTTCACGAAAAAATTGTACTCCAGGGGCACTATATTTCCGCTTCCAATATGCATGGGTTTTTGTAAATTACACAAAAATATTTGAAACATTTTTCGGTTGCTTGTGTTCCAGCAATTCCATGGACAATCTAGTGTAGCTTGAGAAACGTACATGGACTGAAAAGTGAAATGTTGAATTATGCGACGTTGGTTGAGTTTTTTTACCGCATCTAGTACTTTCTGACCACCAGAAAAAGCCATAAAAATAGTCATAGCTGCTCCTAAAAGTGTTGTGATTATTACTGAATAATCACTTGTGACATACATTGCCTAAAATATAACAATATATTTAGTTCAGGGCATCAGTTCAGGCAAGTTTTACCATATCTATAGCGAAGAAGGTGAATATTATTCCAATTACGAAAAGCATGCCCAAATAAAAAGAAATAATCACTGGAATAAAAATCGTAGAGGTGAATTTCTCGATACAGCTAGAAATAAAATAGATGAATGTTGTCTAAAGTAGAAAATTAATTTTATTACGTTTTCAAGGAGGAATGACGAATAATGAAACTTTTCAAAATTTTGAACACCTCATCTTGATAGTCAGAATTCTCAATTAGGAAATTTTCTTCCAAACCATTTATTGTCGATTTCAATTCTTTTAAATTTGACGCTAAAACTTTCAAATGGATTTCCTGAAACTTCATCAGATGCACATAAATGAGAACGAGTACAACTGCACTGTATGTGAGAAAACTGAATGTAAATATGTAGAAATTACTTAAAACTACCGAAACTGTTTCATTCGGGATGGAAAATGCAAGAAGCGAATATTCGTAATAGCGTTCAGGAGATTCTAGAACTTTGACTGTGTGACACATTCCGCATACAAAATTCACCACTAAGTGGGCTAAATCACTCCATAGCAAGATTCGCAGTTCTAGAATAAATTCTTCTTTTTTTAAACAACCGATTTTTTGTAATTCTTGATAAACCGAGTGAAGCTTTTCAGTTGTTACTAATATAATAGCAATTTCTACTACAGTCTGTAAAATATTGCTTATTATAGAGGTACATCGAGGCCTATCAATCTACCTTACATACGATACAAACATTTGTAAAACATCGAATCAGCAACTTACTGTCAAATGTTAACAACAAATTTATCACAAATATTGACTGTAAAGTTCCATGTAGGGATAAAACTATGCATCCAAAAATTTTAAACACTTTGCTTCTTAATACTGTAAATGTTATCAAATACCATCCTTCTATAGGGTCATCTAAAATATACCAAGTTGTTACTGAAAAAAGAATTTTGTTGTTTTAACCGAAGATGTATCTCTTCAAACTTTTTATTCCGGCTGCACAATTAAAATACAACGTTATAAATACGAAAATCCTCTTGGACCATTTTGTTTGTTCTTTGTTAAGCATGTCTAAATAATAATAAAAAATTTTCTAAATTAATGATAAACCATCCTTCCATATGTTTTTACGAATTACAGCGATATATTATTCTAAAACGAATATTTCTGTTCTTACCAAAGATGAATCCCTTCAAATTCATCACTACAATTAAAACAGAGTGTTCAAACAAGATATTGGAATTATATACTAAATGCGTGTAAACCAAAAATTTGTTGTGTTCTTAGCACGCCATCAACTGGTATACTGTACGGTCACCCATACTGAATGGGTTAATAATTTAGTAGGCCTAATAACTTTTTTACTGTAAATAACTACTATTGTTTTCAAAACTTCGACAAGCTATGGATTTCTCATAGTTGGTTGTCAGTAGTTGGAACCATAAAAACTATTAAATGTATTATCGATAAAAGCAACAAAAATAAAAAAGTTGTAATTTGTAAACCATTGATAGTTTTATTTCAATAATATACCTAAATACAAGAAAACTGTATATTTTTTTTTATTTTATTTTTTTAATTACTTGTCCTTTCTGTTACTCATCGTACTGAAAAATCTACAAGCAGATAATAGAAAATTAAAAACCTAAAAGAAGAGAATTGATATCTATAAACTCATAGCTGCCGCTAAAATTGTTGTCACTGAATAATCATTAGTGTCGTACATACAACACCTAAAAGATAAGGACGTTGTTCGAATGCATATGTGTATTCAAGTGTTACCATATTTAGGGAGAAGAAACAAAACAGTATCCCGATCAAATAAATCATGCCCAAATGAAAAGAAATAATCCATGGAAAGAAAATTATAGAATTGAAATTTTTCGCGCAGCTTAAAAATAAAGGTGAATATGTTGTCTCAATAGAATTAAATCTCTTACGCTCTCAACAAAGAATGACGAATAATATAGCCTCTTAAAGTTTGGAACACTTCATTTTGGTAATCAGAGTTTTCAGTCAGAGAATTTTCGTCTAAACCATCGATTTTCGATTTCAACTCTTTTAAATTTGAAGTTAAAATTCGTAAATGGATCTCTGTAAATTTCATCAGATGTGCATAGATCAGAATAAGTATTGCTGCACTGTATGCGAGTAAACTAATAGTGGATATGTAGAAATTGCTTAAAATAGGGAAATAGGCTGTTCACAAAGGTCGAAGTTTCCATTTCTACGAAGAGTGGGCGAGCAGAACGAACGTATGATTGAGAATTAAAGATGAGGTGCTAAATGTGGCATGCGACAATAGTCGTATGTTGAACCCCCATTCATATAAAAACAATGTTTAAGTGAAATTTTAGTGTTTGTTTCTTACGTATGAAACAAACACTTACAAAAAGCCCAATAACTGTTTTAAATAGCGTATAGTTTTATGCTTTCTAAGAAATGAATGCCGTTAACTTGGTCATTGCTACTGAAAACTGAAAGTATCGGCAACAATGTTTATATTTCTGGCATATTTTTTAACCTTTCATTTAATAAAACATAACCTAACGAAAAAAGTTCAGGGAATTTTTATTCTTCTGCATCGAATACCAACAAACTTACTAGATTTTCATGGCCAACCCTACTCTATAAAGATCGTGAACTAATAATAATAAAGTTTTAGGTAATTATACAGGCAGTTTTTGAAATGTGTGAGCTGTCTAGTGCTATTAAAACTATTGGCAGTTATCCACCATGTGCTACTGACTATAATCTACTTTTAGATACACACAATCTTGACTCGTTAGCTTTTCATAGAAGACGACTTGGTGCCAGATTTATTTGGAATTAATTCGTTAAAACACCATGTATATAATCTAGTAATGATTTTCTGAACGTCTGTGAATTAATGGACTGTCTTAAACCATTTATTAAGTTCGGGCTGTGTAACCGTCTCACTTGTTGTAGCTAAGTGTTTAACTGGTTGCATAAACTTGGGCATTAAGTCTAGAACTAACACTTTTGTTCATACAAACCAAAAACCAGTAGACTCGCCTAAAACTAATTAAATTCCTGATTGTTTTATATCGGCTGATTCTTTAAATTTTTTCTCTACTTAACTTAGCTATGATGCTTACTTTAACAGTGAAACGGTTGACGTAAGCATCATGACTAACTAGAGCAGAAATTTAAAATATCACTGTGTACAAAACATTAAATAGGTGTTTAAATTCTAATATCCGCCATTATTTTCTAAATACGCTGACATTCTTTCCTTCATATTTATATGAAATTTTATTCCGTACTTCTTTTGAATTGTTAATTTTTTATTAAATGCTTGGTTTCGCGATTTTTGAGAATATATCACGATAAATTATTCTACCGAGGGTTGTAAAGATATTAATTTTATTGCCCAAGATTTGCAGTTAAACATAATCGGCACATTCTAGGGCAAAACAGACCTACCAAGCCCGCCTCGCGTTAGGTCCAAAAATGAAAAAGTGAAGAAATGACACATGTGGCAATAGGTAAAGATGCTACATTTTTCTGAAAAATAAAGGTATAAAACAGTAACAAATATGCGATTTATGCGAGAGAAATGTATGTACTGAACATTCGATTAGTCGATTACAAAACTAATTTGTGCTAACTGAAAAAATTAATCATTATGTAACACGCAATTATTATTGTCTAAAAATAATAACATACCTTAAACAAATATTTTTACTATTAAAATTACTCTTATTTAATAACACAAATACAACCAGCGGGCCTACCGGACCCGGGTTCCTCAGGTACACAGATAAAATGCATTGCCCCGACAAGTGTAAAACGCAGTCAATAATGAATTGTGGTTTAAGGTTTTTAAAATACCATCTTACCATAGCTTAGATTTATTACCCCTTAGGATTATATCTAAAGATGTATAAGTACTGAAGGCTACAATATAGGAAACGATGGTATTTAAGATATGAAAATTTCCGTGACAGAACACTATTATAGTGGACCTCTTACCTCTATTTTTGTTTATGTGACCAAAATCACCAACATGAAATATCAAAAATTACTACTAGTATAACTCAACTAATAACTACTGAAAAAAAGTGAAGTAAAAAATCTATCGGTATCTGCGCCATTAATTTTGTATCGAGATACAGATATTTTGTGTTAAAATTCGATTTTATCTAGATACAGATACTAGATACCCAAAAATGTATCTAGATACTTTATTTAGATACTGTTTTTCAAGAGCAACCTAGTAGATTGAAAATCCTAATCAAACCTACAGTTTTAGGATAAAAATCATATTTCTCTTGAAATTTGTTTTGAATTGATATGGACTGGTGGCATAAAAAATAGAATTTTTCAACTTACCAATTTCTAACAACCTTTGATGCTTTCTCCTGTTATTTCCGGTGTTTATATATCCAGGAACTTGAAAATAGTTCCAAACCTTCAGATTTTTGTTAACAATAATATTTTTAACAATATTTACCAGCTATATTGCCGATTAGGGAATATTCATGCTTGCGTGTATCGTTGGTTGCATAAATACATTTCGTGTCATACCTATAAGAGAAAATCTGAGCTACTGAATTGAGATTTCTAACACTTTTTGCACCCAACGACCCAAGGTAGAAATCATGTTTCTGTTAAAATTTATGAGTTCTGAGCTATATTTATATCGCTGGTTACGAAATAAGCATCCTCTAGGCTATATTTCGGCTTGTTTTTAAAATTCTGAACGTCTATATGCAATGGGGGCTATGCGGGAAAAGAATGAGTGGGTATACCTATTTTACAAGCTTTATAGCGTTTTTTCGCACTCCAACTTTTTGTGCACTTTGATTAGTTGTGCAATATGCTTATTCAATTCTAAATATACAATTATAAGAATCACACAAGATTAATTCTGGTAATTGATATTCATAAATTGGAAATTCTTACATTACGACAAGTAAACAACACGCATTGATAACAAAAAAATCTGCATAACAATGGAAAGCCCCGAAAGGCGATTATGGCCTCGGAATTTCCGGAAGTTCTATATAAAACGAGCCAGTGTTTGACATCGTCAAATCAAACCATGTTGTTCGTCGTAGCGTTGTTGATAAGCTGGAGCTGCTTTATAACAGTGGGTAAGTTAATCTAACGTATGACTAAAAGTCTACTTTATGTCACGTTTCAGGGTGCGCAAATTAGAGCAACCATATATGACAAATGCCTAGAAAAATATAATCTTGACTTAAACGAATTTATAAATGTAGTAACAAGCAGGCCTAAAAAACTACCAGAAACTGTGTTGTGTGTTTTAAAATGTCAAATGGAAGAAACAGGTGGCATAGGCAGCGACGGAAAAGTCAATAAAACTTGGTGGCCTCCGTTTGACTGCATGAAGGCTTTGGATTACATAAAGACGTGTCAAGATTTTGAGAAGTTACGGTCGTGCGTCTCGCCGTTTGCATAAAATAAGTTATATGTATGAGTATTATATTATTTACCGGGCATGTAATGAAGGCTATTATCACATTAGGATGTGTAATAATAGCTCATTACGTGCGAGTAGAAGACTATTTTTTCTACCTACGACTCAATAAAAAATTCTGCTGTTGAAAATTTATTTTTTAGTTTCCAAAACTGATTGTGATGTAAGCAGTTAGTAATATTGATGCAAGGAGATGCAACATTACTATTCAATTTAAAATTTTTTGCTGTGAAGTTGGTAATTCAAGTTAAACTCCAGATAAAGAAAAATCGACAATTGATTTTTCTCAGCCTGGGGATTTTAATATTGCGGAATTTGCAGACTGTCTAAATGGAACCAGGACGACTTTTAGATCTTGTCCTTTTACCAGTGACATCTCTACTAGCATATACTTATAAACATGAACATCCTTTAATTAAAGAAGATCAATATCATCCTTGCCTTAGTATTGAAGTTTCAACTTTCTAGAATTGGTCTAGAATAGAGGAATTTAAGGATGTTGATTCTGCATGTGTTTATTTCTATGACGTATTGTGTGACACGTTTTTACGGTACATCCCACTACGTAATGGCAAATGTAATAAAGTTAATAATCCTGTGTGATTTTTTGATTATTCTATTCCTAACACGTATCATCATTATAATTCTCCATTATTAATTTTTTTTTAAATTGTATAATCGCTTCAATCACAAATATGACATATTTTATGATCATTTTTGTAACAAAAAATCTAGAGAGAAGAATTAGTCGTTTGCTACAACCAGTCACATTTGTTGTTTATATTTTTATTTTAATTTCCAATGTGTGTAGCCTATCAATTGATGTACGTTTTTCAACAACAAACTATGCAGGGGCAGCGGTATCAGAGCGCTATAAGAAATTTAAATGTTCAATTCTTATAACTCTGATAGTAATTTACAGCTGAGCAAGTGTCAAAGTTTCAAAAAGAGCAATAAAGAACATTTAAATTCGCCATACAATCTTGTGAAATTTTAAACAACAAATAATTCTATGGAGAGAAATCTTTAATCCCCCCGTCAGTCCACGATATTATATTTTGAATTCTGCTGGACTTTTCTACGGTCTTTTTCCACAATGGCGCAACGTTAGGTTAATTTAACTGACGTAAATGAACTGTTAGCAATCTGGTGTGAAGAATTAAGAAGTGAAGAAACGTTATTCCGAATCCTTACTAAGTAAGTTTCATGAAATTTCCTAGTAAGTGATTTATCTAGATAAATCTAAGGTCTGTTAAATTGTGTTAGCACCAGTTAACGATTAAACTCCTAACTTGAACTGTGAATTTCCAAACACTGAATCAAATTTACACGTGTATCGTCGGTCAAAAATTCACATTTTTTCGCTTAGAAAGCCGCAAGACTTAACCGCGCGTGTTGGTGAAACTGTGTCGTCGTCGTCGTTACGTTTAATTTTCGTTAAACAAAAGCCTTCTCCTTATTAACTACCAAACCAACTAACTAACCAAGCTAACTCACCACGTGGTCACACTCACAACAAACACATCAAAAGTAAGGCTTTCACCTTCCTCTACCAAGTAGCCCTCTTTGCCCTTACCAACCCTCTAACTAAAATCCCCAGCAGGACTACCAACTACCCAAAAAGCGCTAACGTGCACATGGTTGCTTATGTTTAACGATTTTTTTGATTGAATATTTTTTTTTAATTCAAATTATTCAAATGTTATTTCGCGCCGCTGTTAAATTTTAATTCAAATTCGGTCACCACTGGTTGCATATAAAGAATTATTTAGTTCAATTTTAGTGAGAAATCATATTTCTCTTGATATTTATGAGTTTTGAACTCTAACTTGTGGAACAAGCATTATTCATACCGTCACTGGTTGCAAAAATAGAATTTTTCAACTTGAAAATTTCTAACAACTTTTGATTAAATTTCGTCCATCGTCCTTTTCGTCCTTCGGCCTTTTCTTCCTTTTCGTCCTTTTCGTCCTTCATCCTTTTCATCCTTCGTCCTTTTCGTTCCCCGTTCTTCTCGTCCTTTTCGTCCTTCGTCCTCTTTGTTCTTTCCGTCCTTCGTCCTGTGTGTTCTTTCCGTCCTTCGTCCTTTCCGTCCTTCGTCCTTTTCATCCGTTTTATCCTTTCCGTTCTTTTCGTCCTTTTCGTCGTTCGCCCTTTTCGTCCTTCGTCCTCTTCGTCCTTCGACCTTTTCGTTCTTCGTCCTTTTCGTCCTTTTCATCCTTTTCGCTTTTCGTCCTTTTCGTCCTTCGTTCTTTTCGTCCTTCGTTCTTTTCGTCCTTTTGTCCTTCGTCCTTTTGTCCTTCGTCCTTTTCGTCCTTCGTCCTTTTCGTCCTTCGTCCTTTTCGTCCTTCGTCCTTTTCGTCCTTTTCGTCCTTCGCTCTTTTCGTCCTTTTCGTCCTTCGCCCTTCGTCCTTTTCGCCCTTTTCGTCTTTTTCGTCCTTTTTCGTCCATTTCATTGTTTTCGTCCTTTTTTCTCCTTTTCATCATTCTTGTCCTTTTCGTCCTTTTCGTCCTTCTTCGTCTCTTTCATCCTTTTCGTCACTCGTCCTTTTCGTCCTTTTATTCCTTCGTCCTTTTTATCCTTCGCCCTTTTCGTCCTTCGTCCCTGTCGTCTTTTGTCCATTTCATCCTTCGTCCTTTTGGTCCTTCGTCCTTTTCGTCCTTCGTCTTTTTCGTCCTCCGTCCTTTGCGTCCTTCGTTCTTTTCGTCCTATTCGTCCTTTTTGTCCTTTTCCGTCCTTTTTCGTCCTTTTCGTCCTTTTCGTCCTTTCTCGTTTATTTCGTCTTTTTCGTCTTTTTCGTCTTTTTCGTCTTGTTCATCATTTTCGTCCTTTACTGCCTTTTCGTCCTTTTCGTCTTTCGTCTTTTCGTTCTTCGCGTCCTTTCCATCTTCTTCATCCTACGTCCTTTTCGTCCTTTTCATCCTATTCGTCATTCGTCCTTTTCGTCCTTTTATTCCTTCGTCCTTTTCGTCCTTCGCCCTTTTCGTCCTTCGTCCTTTTCATTATTCGCTCTTCGTCCTTTTCGTCCTTTTCATTCTTCGTCCTTTTCGTCCCCCGTTCTTCTCGCCCTTTTCGTCCTCCGTCCTTTTCGTCTTCTGTCCTCTTCGTCCTTCGTCCTTTTTGTTCTTTCCGTCCGTCGTCCTTTTCGTCCTTCTCGTCCTTTTCATCCTTTTCGTCATTTGTCCTTTTCGTCCTTCTCGTCCTTCTCATCCTTTTCGTTATTCGTCCATTTCGTCATTCGTCCTTTTCGTCCTTTTATTCCTTCGTCCTTTTCGTCCTTCGCCCTTCGTCCTTTTCGTCCTTCGCCCTTCGTCCTTTTCGTCCTTCGCCCTTCGTCCTTTTCGTTCCTTTCGCCCTTTTCGTCTTTTTCGTCCTTTTCGTCCTTTTTCGTCCTTTTCGTTATTCGCCCTTTTCGTCCTTCGTCCTTTTCGTCCTTCGTCCTTTTCGTCCTTCGACCTTTTCGTTCTTAGTCCTTTTCGTCCTTTTTGTTTTTCGTCCTTTTCGTCCTTCGTTCTTTTCGTCCTTTTATCCTTCGTCCTTTTCGTCCTTCGTCCTTGTCATCCTTCGTCCTTTTCGTCCTTCGTTCTTTTCGTCCTTTTCGTCCTTCATCCTTCTCGTCCTTTTCATCCTTTGCGTCATTCGTCCATTTCGTCATTCGTCCTTTTCGTCCTTTTCTTCCTTCGTCCTTTTCGTCCTTTGCCCTTCGTCCTCTTCGTCTTTTTCGCCCTTTTCGTCTTTGTCGTCCTTTTCGTCCTTCTTCGTCTCTTTCATCCTTTTCGTCACTCGTCCTTTTCGTCCTTTTATTCCTTCGTCCTTTTTATCCTTCGCCCTTTTCGTCCTTCGTCCCTGTCGTCTTTTGTCCATTTCATCCTTCGTCCTTTTGGTCCTTCGTCCTTTTCGTCCTTCGTCTTTTTCGTCCTCCGTCCTTTGCGTCCTTCGTCCTTTTGGTCCTTCGTCCTTTTCGTCCTTCGTTTTTTTGGTCCTCTTCGTCCTTTATCCTTTTCCTCTTGTATTTTCTGGCGTTCATACATCTATTAGGCTCACAAATAGTTATAAAAACTGCAGGTTTTTGTTAGCAATCATGTTTTTTATCAAAATTTATGAGTTCTAAGCTATCTTTCGGATTAGGATTAATATTCATGCTCATGTGTATCGCTGCTTGCATAAATAGATTTGTTATATTAACTACACAAGAGAAAATCTGCAGTACTGAACAGCGATTTCTAGCGTTTTCTGCACTCCACGATTAGAGAAATACCTAAAAAACCTTAAATTTTAGGTAGAAATTACATTTCTGTTAAAATTTATGAGATCTGGGCAACATTTATATCGCGGGTCTGCGTTCTTCTGGGTACCGCTGATTTTCAACATAACAATGTCATATAACTTTTGAAGTTTTTTGCGATTTCTGACGTTTTTTCCCGAATCCAGTGTGTCCTAAAATTCCACGAAAAATTCAGATTTTAGATAGAAATAACGTTTTTGTCAACATATTAAATCTAAGCCGTACTTCGGCCTGTTTTCAAAATTCTGAACGTCTATACGCATTGAGCACATGCCGAAAAAGAACTATTGGTTAAATGGAAAATATCCCCGATCATCTCCTTTTCGCAAAATATTTAATGGGGTAACATTTCTGTACTTGTAGTTTATGAATCCGCCCTGATCTTGTTTATTATTACTATTATTTTCTTTATCATCTGAATATCGATTCTCTCTACCCATAACGAAATATTATTAAACATAAATAAATAAACTACAGTCTAACTTTTTGTACAGTTTCATTAGTTGTGCAATAAACTTATTCTAGGTTTTCTAAATATACAATTATGAGAATCACACAAAATTAATTCTGGTAATTGATATTCATAAATTGAAAATTCTTACATTACGACAAATAAACGACACGCATTAATAACAACGAACAATCTGCATAATAATGGAAAACCCCGAAAGGCGATAATGACCTGGCAATTGCCGGAAGTTCTATATAAACTGAGCCAGTGTTTGACATCGTCAAATCAAATCATGTTGTTTGTTGTAGCGTTGTTGATAGGCTGGAGCTGCCTTATAACAGTAGGTAAGTTAATCTAACGTATGACCAAAAGTCTAGTCTGTCATTTTTCAGGA